TTGATTGCAGGACGACGGCGCGAACCACGACAAAGAAATTTCGCTGCTCTTCCCACTTCTACTGCAAGCTCTGCAGGATGGTCGGCACGAATGAAGCTTCCAATCGCTCGTGGTGGATGCTCCGCGACTCCTTCCTGCATGAGCAGGGTCATAACCGAGATCGTGGATGAACAACGCGGAGAGCTCACAGGTGATGAGGCCATGGAGTTATCGACGGACGATTGGAACGGAATGCATCGCACGATATGGAGGATGAAGCTGCGGAGAGCATACCCATCATGGTCAGTACCGGCGGAGGCGCCGCGGCTCATCATGAAGCCTAAGTGGGTAGACCCGCGACGCCCACTACCGCAAACAGGAATCGGAGCTGGAGATATAGAGCTTCAGGCGCCCAAGATTACGTTGGGCCCCACGAGGGCCATGCTCTTCCTCGCGCGCAAGCCGCAGCGCGCACTTCTTGCCTGGCACGCAGCTCAGGGGGCCCGCCCCCCCAAAGGCAATGGCAAGATCGAGGTGGACAGGGAGGAAGCCATCATGATTATGTGTACAATTGGGCGCACGCACCACGCAGCCGCCCCACGACGGAAGCTGGCCCCATGGCAGTCAAAGGAGTGGATTCATGGCGGATTAGAAAAGGAGGCGCCGAGAAGCTGCCGCGGGTGTTCAACTCATATCGTCATACAGGCTTCAAGCGGCACGAGCACCGCACATGGTGAGGTTCCACGACGCGACCAACGCCTTCTTCTGTCTCAAACACGAGCGGGTTTTAGAAATATTTCCCACGCCGCACGCCAACCAAGATCTACAATTTGCACGAGATCGAGTTGTGAGTGGCATTTTCTCTCAGAGGACGAGTCTGGCAGTTTCTGGCTTCGCCCACGCGCATAGGTTTTCCCAGGTGATGTGGGCGCGACTTTGATCTTCGGGAGGACCTCCAGCCCTCCGGCACAGGTTGCAGTTGCTGACTTACCCGCGACTGATTAGTGGTTTCACGCTGCGGAGGTCGAACCTCCCTGGAGCGACAGCCTGATGCAGCAGATGGCTCTCGCAGGGTTTGTCGGCGATTTACCATGTAAGATATTAGAAGCTAATCACCCTGGCACAGTTGTCGAAAAGCTCGAGGTCGGCAGCCGCCCTCGGAATTCAGCCGCGGACAAAGGGGGCGGGGGACGTAGGGGCCGCGCAAAACATCAGCAAGCAGGAGAACGTAGTCGACCCACGAGGAGATGGAGCACACACAGCAGCACGCATCATGCACAAGCACGCCACACATATCGCGGGACGAACTAAACATCACGCACGCGACCTTGGTGGACTTCAGGCGAGCAGTTCCACGCCCAAGCCCGAACTTGAAAAGCAACTTCGGGCTCTCCAGGCGAGTCATTACTCCATGGGCAAGTTCTGGAGATCGCCTGGCAACTTCAGCATTAAGCGGCCCATGGTGGAGGGGGTGCGAGTGAGCGCGGCGCTCAGCCGCTTGGAGATGCGCGCGAAAGGTCATTGACCTTATGCAAGTGGAGATGTGGCCTCGCTCGAAGGGTTCATTGCACACAAATGTCGCGCAATCCCAGGACGCACTGCGTCCTGAGATCATGAGTTGCAGCATGCCAGTAGCATAAGCGGATTGGATGCATTAAACAAAGTTCCGACTCGCTCCGCTGTTCACAGAGTTGCGCATTAGGCGACTGAAGTGGCTTCAAACCACGGCGCAGCATCGAGACCAGCACATCCAGTTCTTGTTCACTTGCTCCGGGAAGACCGCTCTAGATGGAAATATATTTTTTTCGGGGGCAGGATCGGTTCGGCTTCTCGCGCATCCTTGGGCCAGTCAGCTCCAGAATGAATTGGAGGCCCCGAAAGCGGTGGAGGCGGGGGAGACGATGTGGGACACAGGAGGGAATGCGCGACATATGTTGTTCGAGAACTCGGAGGATTTCGTCGAGATCGATTGCAACGAACCACGGGCGAAGCCTGCATCACGCGCGACATGCACGCACAAGCAAGCTCACGAAGATGGCAAGTATATGTGCAGGGAGACTCCAGCAGATGGAAGCGCGCGCAACTCAGCATGGCCGTCACAGCACGCACCAACAAAGCACATCGTCAACACGATAGGGGGCAGTCATGGACAAATACATGTAGGACGCATACTCCCGACCACTAACACGCGCGTGCCATGCGACAGCGCGTCCCCGAGCACGGAGACTGCGAGGGGACATGTAGCCGACAGCGTGAAAAGACAGCACTGCCCATGTAACCGCGGTAGGCACGCATGCGAAGTAGTTCCTCCGAAGAACACGGCATGCCCGATGTGCGGCGAGAGTTTCGGCGCATTGGAACTATGGTTCAAGCAATGTCGAGATCATCTGGAACCGTGCCTATCGCCTTCCCTTCACGTTCGTCATGTAGTCAAGGACGAGAGCGTAGCTCAATCGCACAGGCTTCTACCACGTGGACGCACGTCGCGGGCTAAGCTACTTGATCCAGGTCGGGCCCCAGCATTACGCGCTAGGCATCATGGGCGAGGAGGCAGCGGCAGCAGCGGCAAGGAAGAGGTCCTGGCTGCTTCGGGATCGCAGCAAGAGCTTTGCGATGACGGGCAGCGAGCACAAGAAACACAAGGCGAAGGGCCAAGAGGACGAGGACGGAGACATGGACGACGACACAGTCATCCTACCGATGCAGAATCCCATCGGTCAGTCGGAGGCGAGAGCAAGACCTTTGGAACACGAGGCCATGACGACAGCCATCATGGACAGGCAGTAGCAAGCAGCGGTGGACGTCAACGAAGCGTACGCGGAGTACGCCAAGGAACGCAAGCAGGACCCGACCACAAATCTTGGCTCGCCAGCGTGCCAGCCAGTCTACGCGATTCTGACCGTCCTAGGTAATCGGCAGTATCGGGGCGCTTCGGCGACGATATCGCGACTCAAGCTCGCAGCAGTTCGGCCCACACGGATGGCGGCAAAGGCAGGGCCAGATCTGACAGGCCAGCGCGCGCGAGAAACAGCAGTGCCCCCCTTGCTTCGACCAGCCCAACAAGCCCAAGAAGTCTCGCCTTCTGTTCAGCTTGCGAGGGTCAACGCTGGTGCCAGAAGAGGAAGGAGCGGCAACCGAACTGCTCAAGGCCATCGAGGAAACAGACAGCCAGCTGCACCAACAGACGCCCCTGGAGATGCCGACGAGCTTCTACGCGCTGAAGGGCAATACCATGGAAGTCGAGACGGTTGTAGCTGAGCTCATCCAGGCAGCTGGAGGCAACGTCACTGCTAGCAGGGCACCGCGTGGTAACGCAGCGCGCAAGCTCATGAAGAAATGTTCGTAGTGACATTGTTTCTCGGCGCGGTTGTTCAAAGGCACAGATGACAGGCTACGATGCTTAGTAGGTTGATTCTTACCTCCATTATCTCCAGGTGCTTCGGCATCCGTCAAGGCGGTGGAAGTGTCGCGCCTGGAGCCAAGCGCCCCACGTTCGAAGCATCCACTCACACCAACCACTCACCTACATTTGTGTTCGAGACTGCTAAGACTCGTACTCATCTGATTTGGAATGGGTGAGTTCTCACATAGCAGGTGGCTTGCGCCATCACGTGCCCGCTCACAGCTGACCCCCTTTTCTGTTTTTTTTCTTGGCTTCACGGGACCACTGGGTGCACCGAGGCAAGTTGCCTATGAAGTGCAGGTGGAATCTTGGGCTCTGAGGCGCGGCAGCTGCGTTGCCGCTCGAGGTTGTCTAGAGCCCAGGTCCAGATTTTTGAGGCACCAGAGTCTTGTAGCCCCCTCTCAGCCTACGCCCAGCGCGTTTTGTAGTTTGGAGCTTTGTCCTTATTGGATCGAGCTCGTCTCTGCACGGGGGCACGTGCTACGACCCCCCCCCCCTCGCCTACGACTTCCTTTAGGCTCCGCCGCTCTGCCCCTCGTCTGGGCCGATCGTCATCACTTGTCGGTTGAATCTGAGAGGTATGAGATAAGCGACAGGCTTAAATCCCTCCCCCGATGTTGTGCCCTGCCCGTTGAGTCCAACGGCCAGGCCCCCGCGCAGGCAACAAAGCGTTGCATCTGCCAGCGCGCGTGGCTCCTCGAGCTAGCAAGATGAAGGGGGTACAGATAAGGTGTATCCCCCAAGGTTCTACGATAATGAGATCGATAAGACATTGAACACAATGGGGGAGAGCGTGCGAGCTTCTCCTCCTCCTCCTCCTCCTCCTCCTCCTCCTCCATTTCCACATCATCATCCTCCCTCCTCCTCCTCCTCCTCCTCCTCCTCCTCCTCCTCCTCCTCCTCCTCCTCCTCCTCCTGGGACCCGATAGTTCCGCCCCGACCAGGAGCATGCGGAGTCGCTGTCGGGGGCCCATCGCCGATCTGTCGTCGATGTATCGCTGATGTCACGTCGACGTTTCCTCCTCCAAGCCAGTCCCCCCTATCGCTGCCCCTCAGCCGAGGAGTGGTGGATCTGGGTCTCAGCCCTCGAGCGCGCGCAGACCAGTCAGCACGGAACCAGCAGCGAGTGCAGCGGGAGCTCGCGGAAGCACCGGGTTCAGTGGCCGGTTCGCGTTGCTTGGCTGGCGCCTCTACCAAGGTCGCATGAGGTTGTGGAAGGGCCGTCTGCCGAAAGCGCACGAATCGGCCAACACCAAACCGGGCAACAGGCGCAATCTGAGACATTGGAAAGCCCAAGCACCAGTGACTGGCACTGGCTAGCGCACGCATGAAGCCCGTTTTCGCGGTCAGGGAAACATAATTCAGGAGGGCAAAAACACACACACACACACAATTAATCGTCGATTCCCCAGGAAATATCGGAAAATATGGGCAGTGGGGGGGGAAACGGAAACCCAGAAAACATTAGAAAATATCGGGGAATCTTTGTATTTGTGTGTATTGACTTGTGTGTCCCAGGGCTCCTTCAATAACGCACCCTCCGCTCCCCAGGCCCAGGGGCACGGCTCCAGACTCCCAAGCGCTGTGGCTGTGGATGTCTCCCTGCGGTGCCGAGGCCGCGGGGGCCGCGCTGTGCAGGGCGTGCCGGCAGGGCCAGGGCGCCGAGGCCATCCGCTTGGTGGAGGGCTTCCCCGAGGAGGCCCGGGCAGCGATGAGGCTCCCGCTGAGCGGCGGGGGCCTCTCGCCTCTGGCCTGGGCCGCCTACCGCGACCTGCCGGAAGTGGTGGACCTGCTGCTGCAGCGCTTCCCGGCCGAGGCCCCGCTCTCCGCCGAACGCGCGCTGTTCCAGGCCTGCCACCTGAAGCGCACGGACGTGTGGCGCCTGCTGGCCGGCGCCTTCCCCGAGGCGGCCCGCCGCGGGGCCGGCGTGCACCTGGTCGAGGCCAGCCGCGCGGGCAACCTCGAAGTCGCCCTGCTGCTGGCGCGCAGGTTTCCAGAGGAGGCAGCAGAGAACGAACAATGACATACATACATACATACATACATACATACATACATACATGCATGCATGCATGCATGCATGCATACATACATACATACATACATACATACATACATACACTACTAGTATATACAAATGTGTTGCATACGAAGTTCTATATATACATACATACATACATACATACATACATACATACATACATACATACATACATACATACATACATACATACCTATATATATACATATATATATGTATGGCAAAAAAACTCGGAGGTCAGCGCGGACCGCCGAGCTGTTATGGTTCTGTCCTTGTTCGTTCCCCCAGGCAGGGGCCTCCGCCGCTCGCGCGCTCGCCGAGGCCTGCTGGAGCGGCCACGCCCAGCTCGCGCTGAGCCTCCTCGACGACTTCCCCGCCGAGGCCCGAGCGGCGCTCGGCGGCGCCGCCCCGGCGGGCCGGTCGCCGCTGCACGGCGCGTGCCGGCAGGGGCTGTCCAGGGTGGCGCGGGCGCTGCTGGAGCGGTTCCCAGAGGAGTCAGGTCGGAAAATGGAGCATACACATCACCAGTGGCGGGCAGTGTTCCAGCCCAGGGCTTTTTGGAGGGTCGGGGACGACGTCGGGGTGGTGTGGTGTGTACCTTTTGTCCCCGTTTTCCCCGCGAAACAAGGAAGAACACATACACCAGGATCCCGTATACACCAGGATCCGCCGTCTTATGCGAGACTCGATGTGAGGCCAGACAAAGGCGTCGGTGTATATAGAGTTCGGCTCCTTATCAGGAGGGGAAGAAGCACACAGACACAAAATCCTCGTCGATCCCCAGGAAAGTATGGGAAAAGATTGGGGAAGTGGGAGGGGGGAGACGAAGCTATCAAGAAAGGGTGTGAAAATATAGGAGGAAGCCTGGGATCTGTACCTACTTATCTCTGTGTCCCTGGGCCTCTTCCAGGAAGCCGTGGCGGCGCTGTCCAGGGAGGATGATGGCGGGCGGACGCCCGTGTCGTGGGCGCTGGGGAGCGGCAACGACGATCTGGTCTCGCTGCTGCTGCAGAAGTTCCCCTCCGGCCACGTCCGCACTGCAGCCAAGGAGGAAGACGAGGATCGAAGAAGAAAAAACACCGTAAACATCTTTTGGCGCTCCGCGCGGATTTCTTGGATCCGCGCTCGGGCCCCCCCCGGCGGCGCCTCCGGCGCCGCCACTGGCGCGCTCCGCGCGCCAGGGAGGGGGGGTCCAGCGCAGATCCAAGAACTCCTCGCGGAGCGTCAAAGTTTATGTTTAAGGTGATGTTTTGCCTTAGGAAGAGGCCGTGGACGAGAGGCCCGAAATGATGCAGGCAGCTGGCCTGGCTGGCCTGGAGAGGTCGGGCTACCGCACGGTGGGGAGCCACAGCGCGGTGAAGCAGTGCCGCTGGACCAAGAACGCCCTCCGGGGGCAGGGCCAGTGCTACAAGCACACGTTCTACGGCATCAACTCGCACCAGTGCATGGAGGCCACGCTGGAGAAAACTTCATCATCAGCATCAGCATCAGCATCAGCAGCAGCAGCAGCATCATCATTATCATTATCATCATCAGCATCAGCATCAGCATCATCATCACCAGCATCATCATCAGCATCATCGTCATCATCGTCATCGTCATCTTCATCATCTTCATCATCAGCATCAACATCATCGCCATCAACAACAACAACAACATCATCATCATCAGCATCACCAGCATCATCATCAGCATGTAGGCCACGCCGAGCCTCGCCTGCGCGAACAAGTGCGTCTTCTGCTGGCGCAACCACAAGAACCCCGTGGCGACCTCGTGGAAGTTCAAGGAGCCAGGGAACCACAATCGGCATACACATAATCTAGACGCTTCGCGTAACCCGACCAGCGCATCCAGAAACGAGGCCCAGGCGAGTTGCCCTGATCAGGGATGTAGAGGAGCATGCAGTGGAACACAAAGGTTGGGGAAGCCGTCATACAGTCGGAACCCCGAAGAAGGAACCCTTTTCGTTGGGGAGGGGCTCCGCATTCCTTAAGTGTTTCACAGCTTGCCTCAGGCTTTCCTTATGTCTTCGACAGGAAACCGAAGGTTAACTTATGGAAAAAAGGGGCCTCGTTCCTTATTTAGGGTTCCTTAGGTCAACGCCCCGACTGTACCCCAAGAGGGGGAGGATGGAGGACAAAGACCAAGACCAAGAAACGCTGCGGACTTCTTCAACTAAATGGGGCTAACAAACAAGGGGACCTTAAAACGGTGGCGTCGCAAGTACCCCCGCAGGGCTTTCTTTATCTGGTCAGAATCCAATCAGAATCCAAATATTTCTCGGGGCGGGGGCGTTGGGGGGAAATCATCCCCTCTGGCCCGAAAGCGCACCTCCATAGCAGGGAATTGCCCCTGCGGAGGTTGCCTGCGGCGCCAGCCATACTGTCCGAAATGAAGTACGACGGCGCGAACTCAAGCCACCTCTGGATCTCGCTGGGGGCCCGAGCGCATCTTCTTGGATGCCGCGGCCCCCCCCCCTTCCTGTGATCCTCCAGGGCGGCATTCACACGCGCCCCCCCCCGCCCCCCGCCCCACCACCCACCCGCTCCACAAACGAGGTGGTCCGCGCCTGTAGCTCTCGGACATCACGGATGGCCCCACGAGTCACGAGCTCCTGATGCTGAACGCTCTCAAGGAGAGAGGGAGGTCGACTGGACGTGAGAGTGACCCCACGAAGCTGCCGCTCACGAGCGCGAACATTACGAAGCTGCCGCCCACCAACGAGCTTTGAAAACCACGATGCTGCCGCCCACGAACGTAAATACCACGAAATTGCCGCCTACGAGTACGAGTGTTATGAAGCTGCGACCAACGACTGTGAACACCACGAAAGCGTCGCCACGAGCGCGGGACACCACGAAGCTGCCGCCCACGAGAGCGATCTCACGAAGCTGCCGCATACGAGCTTGAACGCCACGAAGCTGCCGCCCACGAGCGTGAACGCCACGAAAGTGCCGCCAACAAAAGTAAACGCCACGAAGCTGCTGCCCACGAGCGTGAACAATACAAAACTACCACCCACAGGCGCGATGGCCACGAAGCTTCCGCAATCGGGCTTGAACACCACGAAGCTGATGTTCACGAGCATGAGCGGCATAGAAATTGCACAGGTTGGGACCAACATGATCTCTACGAAGTTGCAGCGAACGAGCGTGAACATGACGAAGCTGCAGTCCACGAGCGTGAAGACCACGAAGCTGCCGCCCACAATCTTAAAGTCCGTGATGGCGCCGCCCACGAGCGAGAAGATGATGGGCCTGTCTCCCACGCGCGCGATGACCACAACGTTTGTGCATCCAGCGGGGTGGGGCCAAGAAGCACCAGCTGATACCGTAAAGCCGCCCAGAGAGGGGCCGAAGGGTCATTCATTGTCCCTGGGTGACTGGCTTACGTGGGCTTCCGCGGTGCGGATGTTTGCTGTTTGTTGTTGTCGCCGTCCCGCCCGCGACCCGTCCCGCGACCCACCCACGACCCACCCGCGACCCACCCGCGACCCACCCGCGACCCACCCGCGACCCACCCCGCGACCCACGCGCGACCCACCCGCGACCCATTCCACGACCCGCCCGCGACCCGCCCGCGACCCACCCGCGAGCCTCGGCACGACCCGTCCCTGACCCACCCGCGCGCGACCCTCCCGCGACCCACGCGCGACCCACCCGCGACTCACGCGCGACCCACCCGCGACCCACCCCGCGACCCACCCGCGACCCACCCGCGACCCACCCGCGACCAACTCGCGACCCACCGCGCGACCCACGCGCGACCCACCCACGACCCACCCGCAACCCACCTGCGACCCACCCAGCGACCCACCCGCGACCTACCCGCAACACGCCCGCGACCCACCTGCGACCACCCCGCTCCCGCCCCCTAGCTCATATTCCCGATTGCGGGGCATAAAGATGTGCATATTCCCACGATGCCTAGCCACGCCCTCAAGAGAGCGAGTGAAAGCCTGACGTTGAACACCAGTTCAACGAAGAAGAAGAAGAAGAAGCATAAGAAGAAGAGAAAGATGAAGACCACGAGATAGGTTCGCGACGCTGAGACGGCGCACAGGTCGCTTCTACAGTAAATAGCAGCACCCATGTTGAACTCGCGGCAAGAGGAAGACAATGTAGAGGTATCAGATGGGTAGGTCGAGCCCATGGATTGCCTGGCGCCGAGGCCGCCAGCGCACGAGTGACACCTGGAGCCCGCGGGGAATAGATGGACGGGAACCTCTGCACCGCCGTCGCCAAAGAGCCGGATCAGGATTATGATGATGACACGAATGATATTGATGATGTTGATGATGTTGATGATGAGGACGACGATGGTGATGGTGATGATGATCGTGATGATGATGATGATGATGATGATGATGATGATGATGATGATGATGATGATGATGATGATGATGATGATGATGATGATGATGATGATGATGATGATGATGATGATGATGATTGATGGTCGAATGGTTGTTGAAAGACAATCAACGTCTACGTAGGCACAGGCGGGGAGCTCCGGGGGCCGACCACGCTGGCGTGCAGCACCAGCTTGGACTTCGCAGTGTACTGCGGCGAGTGATGCTGCACCCCGCTGCGTGCCGCAGCACCTGCGAGTGAGACAAGTGCGACCTGTCCCAGGCAGTACGGGCCCGAGGAAGAACGGAGACGACATGTCGGGGACGGTTACCTTCAGAATGATGGTGGCGATGGTGGTGGTGCGCCATCCGAAATGAGAACGATGATAATGTTGATGATGATGATGATGATGATGATGATGATGATGATGATGATGATGATGATGATGATGATGATGATGGTGGTGGTGGTGGTGGTGGTCGTGGTGGTGGTGGTGGTGATGGTGGTGGTGGTGATGATGGTGGTGGTGATGATGATGGTGGTGGTGATAATGTTGATGCCGTTTATGATGGTTATGTTGAGAATGGTGATGGTGTTGGCGCGACTTATGATGATAGTGATGATGATGATGATAATGATGATGATGGTGATGATGATGATGTTGATGATGATGATGATGATGATGATGATGATGATGATGGTGGTGGTGGTGGTGGTGATAATGCTGCTGTTAAGGACGAAGAGGAATACGAGAAGAGAGGGAAAGGAGAAGGAGGATGAGAAGGAAAAGGAGAAGAGGAGAGAAGAGGAGAGGAGAAGAGACGCGCGGCGCTGCGAATTCAAAACGAGGACCCAGCAGACAAGAAGGTTGGGAACAATACATATATATATACACAATACATATACGTATACGTATACATATACATCTATCTAGTGGTGTCGGGGTTCCGCGCCTGCACCAGAATCGGACGCAAAGTGTATTCAGGTGCTGTTCTTTCACAGGGATGATGGAGGGATGCTCTCATGGGGGCCCGCGTGGGTCTGGGTTGGCTGCCGGTCGGGTGGGGGGAGTGGGGGAGGGGGTAATTACTGATAGGGAGCAGTGGTACCCACCCACCCCGAAGGGGAAAAAGGGGGGATGGAAAGGAAACAAACCCTGAAACCGCTCACGCCCAGAGGACCGGTGGGACTTCTCCGAGGTCCGCGCGGATTTCTTGGAGTCGGCGGTGGGCCCCCCCGGCGGCGTTGCCAGCGCCGCCCTTGGCGCGTTGCGTGCGCCAGGGATGGAGGTTGCAGCTCCGATCCAGGAAGTCCAGGGACCTTCGAGAGATCAGGTGCATGCCGTTCCCTGCCACTTCAAAGGAAGACGACCCCGAGTGGATCGTCCAGGAGAGCGTCGAGCGCCACTGCGAGCTCGTCGCGGAGGCCGCCGCCTCCCCGCACGCCCTGCCGGAACGCGTGCTGGAGGCGCGCACGGTGCGGCACACGGCCCTCTCCCTGGTCGGGGAGCCGGTGCTGTACCCGCAGATCGAGGAGTACCTGGCGGCCCTCCACCGAAGGAGGATCTCGACGTTCTTGGTCACCACCGGGCAACGTTAAGGGGGTGTCGGTGGTTTTCGGGCATTGTCGCTGGTGCTCAGGAGTTTTCCAGCCTCGGATCGTCCCGGACGGCCGCCAGAGCGTCGAGTCATGAACCGAAAACCAAATGGCAACGCTACGGAGAGATAGACTCATGGGGGAAGCATCGACCCCGAGTCGCCCATGCATCGCCGATGGGGGCCAAATAGTCAGCCCTGCCCAGGAACGTGCGGATTCGCTACCAGGGGCCTGTCGCCGATCTGTCGGTGATGCCTCACCGATTCCAACTCGATGTCCCCCCCCCCCCGAGCTGGTCCCCTGAAATGTGACCCCTCAGGTCACCAACGGGCAGTTCCCGGAGCAGTTGCGGGGTCTGCCGCAGGTGACGCAGCTGTACGTCTCGGTGGACGCCCCGGACCCAGAGGAGCTGAAGGCGGTGGGAAGGCCGCTCTTCAGGGACTACTGGGAGCGCCTGCGTGAGTCCCTCCGCATCCTGGCCGAGAAGGGGTCGCGCCAGCGCACCGTGTGCCGCCTGACGTGCCTGAAGGGCAGGAACATGGAGGAGGACGCCTACGACGGGTACGCCGAGCTGATTGCGGCGTCGGACTGCGACTTTGTGGAGATCAAGGGCGCCACCTTCGCCCCAGTGTTCGAGCAGGACAAGTCCGGGCTGTCCCGCGACTCCACGCCCAGCCACGCGGACGTCCGGACCCCAGCGGCACGGCAGAACGAGGGGGGAGGGCGGGGGGGGGGGGGCGCGAGGGCCGCTCGCTTCTCGGGAGCCCTCCCCCCGCCCCATCCAGGGCGAGTTGGGCGGGTCCCTCTACAGGGGGAAGGCTCTAATATCCCGGCAAAGCAACCTAACAGCGATGTGTAGGAGCATAACTGGAAGCATTCCCCTTAAGAGTCAGATGAGAATCCAGTTGTAGAACTCTGCTGTTCTCGCAGTCGTAGTCCCATTCGCGATGACAGTCGCAGTGGCAACGGCAGTCGCAGTCACAGCCTCAGTCTCAGCCTGCCTCAGCCTCAGCCTGCCTCAGCCTCAGCCTCAGCCTCAGCCTGCTTCAGCCTCAACATCAGTCTGCCTTCAGCCTCGGCCTCAGCCTCAGCCTGCCTCAGCCTCAGCCTGCATCAGCCTCAGCCTCAGCCTCAGCCTCAGCCTGCCTCAGCCTCAGCCTCAGCCTCAGCCTCAGCCTCAGCCTGCTTCAGCCTCAGCCTCAGTCTGCCTTCAGCCTCGGCCTCAGCCTCAGCCTGCCTCAGCCTCAGCCTGCATCAGCCTCAGCCTCAGCCTCAGCCTGCCTCAGCCTCAGCCTGCCTCAGCCTCAGCCTCAGCCTGCCTCAGCCTCAGCCTCAGCCTGCTTCAGCCTCAGCCTCAGTCTGCCTTCAGCCTCGCCCTCAGCCTCAGCCTGCAGCCTCAGCCTGCCTCAGCCTCAGCCTCAGCCTGCCTCAGCCTCAGCCTGCCTCAGCCTCAGCCTCAGCCTGCTTCAGCCTCAGCCTCAGTCTGCCTTCAGCCTCGGCCTCAGCCTCAGCCTGCCTCAGCCTCAGCCTGCATCAGCCTCAGCCTCAGCCTCAGCCTGCCTCAGCATCAGCCTGCCTCAGCCTCAGCCTCAGCCTGCCTCAGCCTCAGCCTCAGCCTGCTTCAGCCTCAGCCTCAGTCTGCCTTCAGCCTCGGCCTCAGCCTCAGCAGCCTCAGCCTCAGCCTGCAGCCTCAGCCTCAGCCTCAGCCTCAGCCTGCCTCAGCATCAGCCTGCCTCAGCCTCAGCCTCAGCCTGCCTCAGCCTCAGCCTCAGCCTGCTTCAGCCTCAGCCTCAGTCTGCCTTCAGCCTCGGCCTCAGCCTCAGCCTGCCTCAGCCTCAGCCTGCATCAGCCTCAGCCTCAGCCTCAGCCTGCCTCAGCATCAGCCTGCCTCAGCCTCAGCCTCAGCCTGCCTCAGCCTCAGCCTCAGCCTGCTTCAGCCTCAGCCTCAGTCTGCCTTCAGCCTCAGGCCTCAGCCTCAGCCTGCCTCAGCCTCAGCCTGCATCAGCCTCAGCCTCAGCCTCGCCTTTTTCTCCAGATGTATGTTTTTTCAAGATCGTCCAAAATCCGCCTGTTGGGGGACATGCCCGACAATTTTTGTTTGCGTATTTGTCTGGCCTTGTTCTCCAGATGTCTGTTTCTGTTTTTCGTCCAAAATCCGCCTGTAGAGGGGGACGTTGTTGTTTTTCGCCCAAACTCCGCCTGACCTGCGTCTGCCCTTTCGTGCGTACTTACTCGTTCGATGAGCTTCTGCTTCGTGTTGACGTTGTCGTACCCCATGGGTCCCACGAAACCGTTAATATCTAAATGTGGGGAACTCCGTTAGCATAATTTGTCGCCCTAAATCCGCCCGACAGGAACCCAGGGACGCGGGGGTCCCCCCCAGGCCGTGCGGCGGCAGACGCGCGGCGGCCTCGGCAGCCCCGTGGGGGACCTCACCGCAGCGTCCCGCCCACCGTCGCCGCGCCGGGGGGCCTCGGGAGGGCCCCCGGGTCGCACGCGAGGCGTCCTCGGAGAGCGGCCCGGGTTTTGCGTCGGGCCTGTCCCCCTACAGGCGGATTTTGGACGAAAGATATAGATACAAAAAACAAAATCCAAAATTCTTCAAACAGGGTCAGAAAATCGTCCCCAGAGAATGTTCAGACTACTTTTGACTGCTCCTCCTGTAGAGGGACAGGCCCGACTCAACCCGAGTCCCGAAGCCGCGCGGTTACCCCAGGTCCGCACCTCAGTTGCCTCGGGGCGTCCGTGTCGACACGCTGCGTCTTGGCTCCGCGTATCGGACCATGGTTCGGCGAGCGTATCGCGTGCCTGCGTTTCCAGCCTGCGTGTGGAGCTCCGTATCGATACGCTACGTGCTGCGTGCTGCGTGTCGGGGCATCCCCACTTACCGCACCAGCCGGGGGCCTCCGAAAGACGCACTCCCAGGTAGGCGACGGGAGCAGGCGGGGCCCACGGCACGGCCGTTCGCGCCCAGGCTGCCCGCGCAGGGCCGTGGCGCCAGGGTCGCGGCACCACCGTGCGTGAGGCCCGCGCCCGGTTGTGGCTGTGGTGGGCCCCCGGCGGTCGGGTCTGACCCGCTGGCCCGGCCTGCGGGGCCAGTGGTCGGGATCCTCTGGTCTCGGGGGCGGAAAAGAAGGGGGTGATGACTAGGGGGGGAAGGATATCATGGCGCGGGCCATGATATCTACGAAGATTTCATGGCGCCTCTTCTTGTTTCATTACGTTCCCGGCCCCCCCGCTGGGCCGCGCACATGCCGCCGGCCATGATTTGCACCCCCCCCTCTTGGACACCCCCCTCTTGGCCGCTCCCGATGGTCGATCCCCATCCCCACTGGACCATGGCATCTCGGCTCCACCATCCCGACCCCCCCCCGTTGGGGATGTGCCCTGCGAAGCCCGAAGGCGAGCAGTGCACATCCCTTTCCAGGGGTGCAGATCGGCCAGCGGGACCAAGGCCACAGCAGTGGGGAACTCGCATGGTAAGGATGAGCGACTTTCCAACGGAGCCCTTGCAGATTTCCCCTTCGGCCCATCCTTGGCCGCTTTCGCTGGCCGCGCCCCGCTCGCAAAGTGTCGGCATGGCCTTCCAAGGCCCTTGCGTCCTTATCGCGCGTCCTTACTATACGGTTTAAGAGTAGGGGTGTAAACCGGCCAGCGGAACCAAGGCCACGCCAGTGGGGATAGGGTTCGGTTCAACGATGCTCAAAGGGTGCCCCCCTGCACCGCGCCTGTCGCGTCTCGTGCCCTCTTCGTGCCCCGGGGCAGAGGCCGCCAGCGGAGATTGGTCTCGCGCGCCCTCTCGGGTGCCCCCTGCGGGCAGTCGACCACACGTAAGAGTGACCCCTCGCCGGAGTGACCTTTGGTGCGGGCTCATCGGGCTCCCCCCGATCGCCGAGCGCGATGCGATATAAGCGGCCCGCGCCCTGGGGTTTGGCTCCCTCGCGCCCCCAAAAGCTGCGCACCAAAGGTCACTCTTACCCAGGGTCACTCTTACGTCTATCCGAGGGCAGCCTCGATTGCCTAAGAGGCCTCCCCCGACTCCCAGAAGGCCGCCTCCCCCCCTGCCCCCTTCCAAGGCTGCGCGGTGTCGAGCCTCGGCTCCTCCTCGGTCTGTCCATCTGGTCGTGGTTTTGTCCCTGGCCCCAGCTTCGTCTCGTCTTGACGGCCACTCGTCGGTTCCCGTTTCGTCGCTTCTCGCGATCGCAGCGCCAGGGTGCCAGGGCTCAACTCCAGCCCACGCCAAAAAACGATTATTCGACACGGAGATCCCCATGTGTGCAGTTCAGTGCCTGGTATTCCCGCCTGTGAGTGCCTGGGAGAATCTCAGCCTGTGGCGACTGAGCCTGCCTTGGCGAGACTCCCCCTTGGAGCGCCCCAATGCTATGCCTGCTTCATCGGGAAGATCTTGGGACTCTGAAAGGAGAGGGGTCGGGATGCCTAAACCAGCGCTTCGCCCGAGAGGTCCCACGATCTGGGCACGACACGAACTGGCAAGTGGAATACACTTTAGGCCACGCCTGCTACATCGCAGTGATCATGGGGCTTCCAAAAGAGAGGAGCTCGAGTTGCCGAAACAGACCAACCGCGTGAGAGAATCCCACAATATTGACGCGCGCGAACCGGCCGGTGATGTAACCTCTGGTGGCTCCTCCTTCGGGGTGCTCAAGCGGCATGCGTGCTCCATCGCAGTGATCATGGAGTTTTTTGAAAGAGAAGAAAGGTGCCCGAGGCACCGAAACAGGCCAACCGCTTGAGGTATCCCCGCAATCTCGGCGTGAATGGACCAGTGATGCACCCCTGCCGGCTTCTCCTTGGGGTGGCCAACTGCTACGCCTGCGATTCCGCGCTGACCATGGGGCTCTCTAAAGAGAAATGTCCGAGGCGCCGACATGGGCGACATCCCCACGATCTGTGCGCGAACAGGAAATGTCCTATCCCCTTGCGGCTCCGCCGTGTTGTGCTCAAATGCCGCGCCTGCTACATCGCGATAAACAATGGGCTACGAGTGATGTGTGGGCGCGTATGAGTGAGTCTGAGTATGAGCGTGTGTCAAGTTAGCCAGGTCGAGCGAGTAAGAGGGCCCCGCCCACTCCCACCCTCCCTCCCGCAGAATAAGAAGTAGTTGTGGCACAACTTGAGATTGGGATTGGAGCGCACTCCCACCGGCGCTCGAGCGCGGGCCCACTTCCGAAGGCTTGGCGAGAAAAAGCGCGGGCCGCGCAGGGGCGGGAGCGGTAAGACTTCCGATGGGCGCGGCGAGTGCGAAGCATGCGCCGCCCTGACACAGCACTGCCACTGTCATTCACAAACTGCGCGGCGCGTGGAGGAGGCCGCGCACGGATCTCGGGTGAGGGCGACAGGTCGCCCACCCGCGCGCGGGCCCCAAAGACTTAGCGAGTGACAAGTACGCGCCGAGGTGGGAGCGCCACCATTCGGTCGAAGTCTGCGCGGCGCCGCGGCGAGAGCGACAAGGTCGTCCGCTCGCGCGCGTCTGCGCCGCGCCCGCGCGGGACGTCAGGTCTCTACAGCGGGACTTCAGGTCTCTACAGCGGGACTTCGGTGTCTGCGCCGCGCCCACGCGGGACTTCAGGTCTCTACCAGCAGTGGGCGCGCCGCCGAGGCGAGGGCGACACGCTGCCCTCTTCGCGCGGGGTGGGCGCCGCGCCCCCCTCTCGTGCCGCGAATCGTGCAACATGGGCGACGTGGTGTCCATGCTGAAATGAAAAGCATTGAGGTGTACTGTTTTTTTGTGGGCTGATAGGAGGGGCCCCCCCCCCATTGGGCTGCCGTCGGCCGGCTAGGCTAAGTGGCAGAGCAGGAGCAGACTGCAAGAAAGAATCAGGGCACGAGGGTGAGAATGTGTGGGCCTGAGTATGTAGTGTGAGTCTGAGCGGGAGCGAGAGTGAGAGTGGGTCTGAGAGACAGGATCTGAGTGAGAGCGGTGCGAGGAGGAGTAAGTCTGGGCATGTGCGAATCTGAGTACGAGTGGGTCTGAGTGAGAGCGAGTCTGAGTAGTTGTGAATCTTAGAATGAGTGAGCCTGAGTCTGAGTATGTCTGAGTGCCAGTGAGTCTGAGTGTGGATGCGTGCGTGAGTGTTCGTGAATCTGAGCATGAATGATCTGAGCGTGATGGGTCTGAGCGTGAGTGTCTGTGTGTGAGTGTGGGTGAGTACGAGCAGTAGTGGTCTGAGCGTGATGAGAGAAAGAGAGATAGAGAGACACAGAGACAGAGAGAGAGGAGAACAAGAACATAAAACCACAAAAGGAAGTGGGAGTGAGTGAGGAAGTGGAGGCGTCCCAGTAAGAATTGGAAACCGAGATCTAGGACATGGGGAAAACATCCCCAGACCCCCGACGTCGTGATGATTTTGCAACGTTGACCTCTGGAGGTCTCGACCCCTTCCCTGGGGACCGACTCGTTTTTTGTTGACAGTCTCGGGGCCCGGTGAGAGCCCCTGGAGGCCGAAGATGACCGAAAGGTTCCCGTCGCGATGTTTGTCGCGACTCGAGGGGGTCAGGGTTGAACGCGCCTCCGAGGAGCTTCGCGCGGGGCTTGGCGTCACGGCTGCCTGGCTACGGGCTGGCGTGCGAGCACGAGCACAGCTGCGCGGTGCTGCTGGCGCACCGCGCGCGGTTCTGCGGCCCCGGGGGGCGGTGGCGCACGTGGATCGACTTCGACAGGTTCGCGGACGCGAGCGCCGAGGGCCGGCAGTTGGATGTCGAGGATGGGCGAGTGGCAGCCTGAAGGGACAAACGTCCGAACCTCGCCCTCGCTTCCAGACCATGCTGTCCTGAGATCCTGGCGTCGTTTGTTTGTCACAGCGGGCGAGTTTGCCCTGCTTTGGGCCCCAGGGCCCTCACGGATCGACCTGGCTCGGAAAATGCGGTAGAAAGATTCGGTCCAGGGCTCTGGTGGAGTCTTGTAGACGATATTGCATTTTTCCGCGACGTCGGATCTCAGGGTAAGTCATGCCAGCTCATTTCAGGCACCAGGGTTCCTGCGTCCGCTCCGTCTGGCGTCCACGCTGGCACACGGGCTGGCAATCAGCCGGCGTGCCCCAAAGCGGGGCATCCTTTTATGTTGAAAACCTTGGGGGCGTTTTTTTCATCGTTTCGGTTTTCGGCCAACCAAATTTATAAGCAAAAATCGAACAAACGGCAGACCAAAACAGAACCGGACCGAAAATTGCGCGAACGAGAATCCTAAAACGGAGCAAACATTGACCCCACAACTGAACATGACGTCGATTCTGAAAATGGAAAAAAACGCTCAGCTATTTGACATCATCTAAGGGCATATACTCCCCCTCTTCCCCCTCTGAGACCCCCGTAAACGGTGGAAAGCGTGAGCCATGCCCAGGGGGCGGGACGGACGTACTCATCATGGCTTGGCGCCCAGGTCCGGAGATGATACGGACATACCAACACATGTCGGACCCAAAGTGGGATCCGCGCGTCCTAAATTCAGATCCGGTTCGATTGTTTTCCGACGTTCCGTTGATATCAACACGTGTCGGAACCGAATTGGGATCCGCGCGTCCTAAAATCAGATCCGCTTCGGTTGCCTTCATACGCTCCGTTGCCACTCTTGCGGGTGCCCGATGTCGTGGGTGAACACATCATATCCGTATCCGCCCGCAGATACAGAGCTTTCGAGGATACCCTGCGCAGAACGTATATGTGGGACAACGTATCCGCGGGATCGCGCCCCAGAATCCAGTTCGCGAGGGCGCGGATACGGATATGTCCGTTCCAAACGCAAGAGGGGAACACTTTCTGCCCCGGACATGGACTTTCGCCCCCGAGCGGCCCAGAGAGGAGTTTGCGCTGGAGACGCCGGACTGGGCGCTCGCCAGGGACAGCTTCGTGCCCGGCAACTTCGAGCAGCCCGGGTTCGACCCCGAGGATCGAATAAGAATCTACAGCGGGGCTGTCCACCATAATGAAACCAGATGATGTTCGTCAAGGTACCTTGGGCTTCTTCCCTGCACTGTGACTTCTCGCGGGCGTCAGGGAATCGCTGCGTTCAGGTTTCATTGGGTTATCCCCCCAGTTGCCCCTCGCGCGCGGATATTCACGGCTGGTTTTCTTGCAAGGGTTTCTTGCGACCGCGTCCGCGCTGTACCCCAATGTCGACCCCAAATATGAAAGCAACCACATCAGCAAAGCCGGCAGAGGTCCCGGAAAAAACAGTCCTAAGGACCAGGTGGGAACCCTTTGTGCTAAAGCAGATTTGGTGAGACGCGACATCGACATAAATCGTCGGAGCTCCGCGCGGATTTCTTGGATCGGCGGTGGACCCCCCCTGGCGGCGCTCGCGGCGCCGACCCTGGCGCCCTCCGCGTGCCAGGGACGGTGGGGGGTCCAGCGCCGGCCAAGGAGTCCGCGCGGATCCCCGAAAGTATACGGTGCTGCCGTTCTCTTCTCCCTCTACAGATCAGGTGCAACGATGATAATAGGGGGCAAACAAAGCTACCTCGCTTTTGACCACCCTCGCTTGCAAGAGATACCAAGCGATGCCAAACTACGGCCTGTATTGGTCAGGCCGCTTGACGAGGAGGCGCGTGGTATGACTTGGTTTTGCCTGGAAGCGCAAGCGGGGTAGGTAATTCACGCTCTGAGATACGGGGGATTGGCTCAAGGGGCAACGCGTCGACCCCCACTGGCCCATTGATCGCCGATGGGTCCTGATGGCCCCACCCCGTCCAGAAGCTGTGCGGTCTCGCTGTCGGGGGCCTGTCGACGAGCTATCGGCGAGGTATCGCCGATTCCAGTTCAGTGCTCCCTCCCTGCCAGACCAGGACCACCGAAACACCACAACGGCGACGCCGACCAAGGCAAAAGACTCCCAAGCAACCCCCCCCCGCCTCCGGAGCATCAGCCACCCACCGCTGCAGGAGCGCCAGGCGCCATTCCCACAACGGATAGCACACAAAGTAACCGCAGCCCTGGCACGATCATCAGCAGCCGCAACCCACCCCACATGGCCCACAACCCTCCCCTTGTCTCACCCAGCGCGTTCCATTACTCGCAAAGTGCCTCCTCGCAAACGTTAAAAGAAAGAAGTATCGCCTCTATATCATGGCATCGTAAGTCCCCCGCAGCGGATCCAGGCCACTTGCGAGTAGTTACTTTGCGAGTAATTAGTGGAACGCGCTGTTCTACGCCCCACATGGCCCAGAGGCCCCCACCCGGGTGAGAAGGACAATTTCTGAGGCAGCTGAAAGAACTTTCCGACTCCGCAGCCGGCCAGTCGGCCAATCGGCCAGAGCCGGGAGGGGAGTCGGCCAGTCGGCCAGAGCCGGGAGGGGAGTCGGATAGTTGATCTCGGTGCCCCAAAGATGTTCCAAATGCCCCCGGGCCGTTCCTCCGCGCAGGAGCGGCGGCGGCCACCGCCGCGGAGGCGGCTGGCCGCGCCGCCGCCCGCCGCGGAGGCGGCGGCGGACGGCGAGGCGGCGCCGGGCCGCGCCGAGGCACCCGGCGGCGGCTCCGCGGCCGCTGCGGCCTCCTCCTCGGCGCCAGCGGCGCGGAGGCCTTGGCCGCCCAGACTACAGCCCCCTGAGATCTTCCGGGTATAGCCAGGACCCCGGTTATCGGGGGTCAATGCAGACGGGGGTCAGCCATGGCACCGGATCCTGCAGGATCCTGCGAAGACCACCTCTGGCTGACCCGGGTTAGCGAGCCGCTCGTGGCCGCGAGGGCGGCCGCGCATATTGGCTGACCCGGGTTTGCGAGGACCTGCGTTGCAATTTCTTTTTCTTGCATTGCAATTTTTGGTTTTTGCGCTGACCCGGGTCTGGATTGACCCGGGTCAGAAGATCCCCGAGGTTAGGGGGAGCCGGTTAGTGATTGGGCCCCGAAGCCTTAAAATTTGGATTGGAGTCATTGAACCAGGTTTGCCGTAGCTGGTGTTTTGCCGGGTGACGGCAATTCGGGTTAGTGGAATGGGAAGGGGGGGGGCGTCCCAGTTACAGATCACTAAACCAGGTTCCACTAAACCCAGTTCTGCCAACGCCCGAATATTGGCGATGCAAGTGTTTCATTACGGCCGGACCGAGGTCTAAGATCGAGGTCGGTTCGGGGAGGGTGCCCCAGTGTTTGCTTTGTGCCTGTTGGATGTTCTGGTGCATCCTGGACTCGACCGCCGACTGGGGCGAGCACGAAGACGAGTTCGTGAGCTTCTCATGGAGATGAGTGATGAGTGCACCGCGCTGATGTTGTGTCAGGTCCTTTCCGTAGGGCCAGCGTGATCGCGCACGCCTGTCGCCCATATCTGGGTCGCCCTCTGCGGCGGTGACAGTTCGTTCGTTCTTTCGCATCCTCGGGAGGGTACCCTCGGCCGTTCTGCGTGCACACACAGACACAATCAATCGTCGACCCCCAGGAAAATGAAAATATGGGAAGTGGGGGAAGACAAAAACCCCGAAAAAAATATAAAAATATGGGTGATGTTTTTTACGTGTGTGTATTCATTTGTGTGTTTGTGGGCCCCTTCATCGAAGGATGTGAACTCTGTCCTAGGTCCGACGGTATGGGCGTTCTCTCCAGGGCCCTGGGACCTTCACAGATCCATCCGGATCGGAGAGCGAAGCAGAGAGTTGGAGCATGGGGCTCCTGTGGCAGTGTTCTGCGATGTTATACTCTGCTCCCCCTGCACCCAGCTCTGCGTATCCTCAAGGACGACGGCGGAGCACACTACAAGTGGTTCAGGGCAGGCTTCGATGTTGCATGAGACCAGTTCTTCCAGAAACGGGTCGATGCATCGGGGCTTGAACGAAAAATGTTCGAAAAACGAGATGAGAGGAGGAAAGTGACAGGAAGTCGCAAAGTCTGGAAGGCGCGACATGTTCAAAGACCGCCCAAATTGCAGACCTCCAAGGTCTTGAAAATAAGGGCGGATGCTTTTCGCAGTTTTCGGCCTCTGGAGGCCCTCGCCGGGCCCCGGGACAGTCAAGATACGACTCGGGATGAAAGAAAAAAAGGGTTTGGACTTCAGGGGGGCGCGTATTGAAAAATTCAAAGCATCGGATGTCTGGGAATGGAATCAAAGAAGATGGTGTCGGAGGATCGCGCAGCGTCGCCGATGTATCTCTGCGGTGCGTTTCGATGTGGGGAGTTGAGTTTTCTCCACGTGGAGCTCGCCGATGCATCGGCGATGCGGCGCGATCCTCCGACCCCATCTATTTGGACTCCATTCCCAGACATCCGATGCCTTGGGGTGTTCTATACGGGTTCCCCAGATGTCCCGACCCTGTCCCCAGAGCCAGTTCTTGTTAAACCCAGAGTCGTTACTTGACGGCCCCGAGACTTGGCGAGGGCCTCTGGAGGTCGAAAATTGCCAAAAACCTCCCGTAGTGACGTGCTCACGACGCGGGCATGTTTAAGATTTTGTGGTTCTTGGAAACGGTAGGTTCGCTGTTTCCCGTTTCAAGGGATCTTGAGAATGAAAACGGTACAATGTTAGCCAGTGTGGGCCCCAAACGGTGCTTTAGCAGATTGAGTGGTATGATATTGGTAGTGCAAGCCATGTGTCGCAATCAAGGTTAAGCAATCAATGTGGTGCAATGTATGTGAAGCAGCATCTGTGGTGCAAGCTATGTGGTGCAAGCTATGTGGTGCAAGCTACGTGGTGCAGCCTATGTGGTGCAACTCACCTTGCAGAACCTGAAGTTGTCATCTCCACTGCTCGCGGAATGCTCTCACCCACCCACCTGCAACTGGGTTTGCAAAACCCATGCGGCGGCGATTGCGATGAGTGTTTGGTGTTGACTGGTGCATCTCTGCGGCCGCGCTCGCCCGCGCATGCTCGCGCGCGCAGCGGCCAGCTAGTTTGGCGCGGCCGACGCGGACTGTTGGGCACTCTCCAGCGGGCACTTCAGTGCGAGTTGGAGATTGGGGCGGGTGCGATATCATGGTAAAGTCGACAAGGGTAGACTCGATGATGATGGTAGCGATGTTGGTGACGATGATGACAACGACGACGGCAAGGCCAGTGACGGCGCCGATGCTGATCACGCCGGCGACGATGACAGCGTCCTCGCGTCGGTGTTGAAGGTTTTCGGGGGAGTTCGACATGCGCGCGCGGCCGACGCGCGAGAGTGGTCTGCATGCTGTTATTTGACTCGGATCGTGCCCCCCCCCCAGCAAGCGCGCAAGGGCGTTCGAATGATTCCACCGTGCGGCGCGAAAGATACATTCGGCATAATATAGTGTAAATATTAAAGAAACCATGGTTTTCTTCAGAATTCGCAGGGGCGCGCAGGCCTTTTTTTGAAGTTGGCGTTGCAAAGCCATGTGTATTACTATTGCGTTCGGGACATTCGATTTTGAAGTCCCTACGAAGCTTCAAGTTTTCGTCGGGTTTCCCTATGCGCGCGCGACGACGCGCGCGAGTGCACTCCATTTCATTATTGTGCGAGGGGTTTTTGCGACTGTGCGCGCGCAGAGGCGTTCGAGAGATTTCGACAAGCGCGCGCGAGAGGCACGGTTGGTAGAATTTGCTGAACATGTTGAACGGCCTATGGTGCCGTTTGGAATTCGTAGGAATGCGACGGCCGGTTGTTTATTAGTTTGAAAAGTCGTGTTGTGAAACCTTTTGTTTGTTCTTGTATGTGTTTGAGACACTCGATTGTGCAATACTTGCGAAACCCATGGTTGTTGAAGGATTCCGGCATGCGCGCGCGACGACGCGCGCATATGCATGTCGTCCCATTTGTTGCAAAGGGCTTTTGCGACAGCACCCACGCAAAGGCGTTCTTGCGATTCCGACATGCACGCGCGAGAGATTCATTTGGTAGCATGCTCTGAAAATGTTGAACAGCCAATATTTGCGTTGAAAGTTCGCAAAATCCCAAGTGCATTTTTTGGTTGAAATCACATGTTGCGAAACCATATGTGTTGTTTGATATTTTCGGGGCATTCGATTTTGAAATCCATACGGAAGCTAAGGTATTGAAACATTTCATCATGCGCGCGCGCGACGACGCGCGTGTGCACTTCGTTTCATTGCTTGCAAGGGGCAATTGACCATTGATGGTTTTAAATGAACGAGCGCGCGCGTAATTGTTTGGCCGAGGATGAGGAGGTCACGGCCGTTTGGAATGGTACGATTTCATATTTAGGCTGGACGACGGGGTAGAATCACATGCAGATTGCAATGCGAAAACGAGGCCGTTAATTCGGGAGGGTAGATCCGTAAATCTGAATATTTCTTAATGAGGTTCCATATTGGTCACCATTTCGATTGTGCAAGCTTCGCACAACCAAAAACGTGAACACAATGGGGCTGCAGCGGCGACGTGCGGCGACGGGCGGCGGCGCCACTCGGTCACGATGTTGATTGCGCGGGCCTCGCATGCTCAAAATCGTAAGGCGGCGACGGCTGCGGCGACGGGCGACGGCGCCGTTTGGTCACAATCTTGGTTGCGCGACCCAAAATCCTGACCAAAATGAAGCAACGACGGCAGCGGGGACGGCCAGTGACAAGTTGGCCGAAGCGGCGGCAAGGCCCAGCTCCGAGAAGCGATGTCACGACCCCCAGGTGCAAGCTTCGCAGGAACAGGAAAAAACGCCGCAAGGATTGAACTTGGCATCTCTCGGACGCGTGCCATTTGTTCTGGGCGAGAACCATCAAATTCACACGCACGAAGCCGAACAATGCACGGCATGGACGTCCGAGCGACGCCGGAGCAGGAACCGGAAAAAAATGCGACGGAACCAGAACCACAACGGCGCAGGAACCGGGGGGGGGGGGGGAAACAAACAAAAAACGAAAACGGGCGTCGCTTCTACGAACCACCAGGGTCTAAGGCCTCATATGTCGGGCCGGCCTCCAGCAGGGCCTTCGGGCACAAGATGATGGGCGACGTCGCCGTGCTGTCGCCCGGGGGCGGGCCGGCAGAGGAGGCCGCTGCGGCCGCGGAGCTGCTGAGGCCTGGGGGAGCTGAACGCGCGCGCAGTCTCAGGCGATGGCGAGGCGTCCAGGCTGGCCCGTTGGCCCACCACAGAATGTTCCAAGAACCTTTTGCGGTTTGCGCGAAATGTTCTCAGAACATGTCTGGCTGGCATCCTTTGATTCAGACGCATCGGCTTACTGTTCTAAGAACTGTCTTCTTGTTCTTCGAATATTCGTTGACTCTAACAACACGTCGTGGTAGTCCTATGAGAATGCGGGAAGGCCGGTCCATGTTCAATTGTCGACCCAGACCCGCTCACGCCAGACCCGTTCGCGCCAGCACGAACAAACCACGGCGGCAGGTTTTGCACCGTCTTCAGACTCCAGAGACCCTCGCGGGGCCCGGGGGCCGCCCAGAAACGATGGGGATGAAAAACCGGTCCCCGGGCAGAAGTCGAGACCTCGAGGGGCCCACGTTCTCAGCGATGATTGTTCCAATCCAGGCGTTCTTTTTAGATTTCGACCCTCGGGGGTTGGTTATCGGGCTCCGGGGCCACCACAAACGGATCGCGGGGCGAAGAATTACCCCCCCGAGAAAGGGGTCGGGACCTCTGGGGCCGCGGAGTGAAAAATTTGATCGTCGGATGTCTGGAACTGTCGAGGGCACGTGGGGGGTTAGCCAAAGGTGAGATTAGGGAGCGGACCCAGCTTGAGGCTGATAGTTCCCTCTTCCTCCTCCTGGGACCACTCAGAGCGATGTTCCTCTCGCCTCACCTCTGTCCCGAGAGAGAGTCGGAAGGGCTCGTTCCCCAGTGGAAGTTCCGCGACTTTTCCCGGCGGGCCTTCCCGCCCCAGAAATGTGCCCCCAGACCAACACCCAAACACCGAACCCCCAACCCCCAAACCCTTGCTCAAGGGCGGGGATGGTGAACTCGTCCTCCCCGTCATGCGCTGCGGGCTCGCCCGCCGCAGCGCCAGGGGCGGCAGCGCCCTCATATGCGGTGGTGAGCTGCTGGAGGTCCGCCTTGGCTGCAGCCTCTGCCTCCAGTGCCGCCAGCGCCTTCGTCGTTTGAGCTGCGCCTTGGCCCACTCGAGCTCTCTCTCCGTCTTGCGGTGACGCTGGGCGGCTGCCTCGACGCGCTGGCGGAGCGGCGGCTGAGGCGCACCGGGGGGCGGGGCGCCAAGCTGCAGGCCTCAGACTCCCGGCCCACGGGCTGCGCCAGGAGCTTCTCCTCCAGCTCCCTCTGCAAGGCAGCCTTCGCGGCAGCGGTGAAGGCCGCGGCGCCCCCCATCGCTGCTGGGAGGGCGCTGGTCTGCGGCCGGCCGGTCCCACTCGTGCCCGCGGGTGGTGCGGCACTGGAATCACGGTTTCCCCAGGAGCAGGGGGAGGAGGAGGAGGAGGAGGAGGAAAAGAAGGAGGATGAGGAAAGAGGAGGAGGAGGAGGAGGAATCACGGCTTCCCCAGCAGACACGTGTAAAGCCAGGAGTTGCCCGCTGGGCACTGGGGGCAGACCAAGTATTGGTTGCGCGGCGCCGTTTGCTTGACCTGCCGCTGCGACCGGCGCAGGCTCCACCCGTCAGGAGCCTGCTTCCACTGGCCTCCCCGAGCCATTGGAACAGCACGCGCTGCTTGTCGGAGTAGTTGAAGATCCTGCTGAGGACTTTGGCAGGCTCTGGAGAGCCATCCCCCAAGCCGCGAGCACAGGAACCAACCCGATCCCAGCAGCTGGCCGGCCCTGCGCGGTGCGCGCCCCAAGCAGGTGGCCGCTCCTGCTCGCTGGAGCAGGTAGGGGCCAAACGGCTTGGGGAGGAGGAGGAGGTCGGGATTGAAAAGATCACGACGTCGGAGGTCTAGGCGCATCCCGCTCGCTCTCCACAGGCGCCCCAGCGTGCGCTCCGTGGCGGCGCTGGTGCCGGCGGACGGCCACCGCGGCGCAAGGGCGAGGCTCGCCCCCAGCCTGCAAGCTTCCCCCTCGCCTGCTCGCTCGCTTTTGCTCGCTCCTCCTCCTCCTCCTCCTCCTCCTCCTCCTCCTCCTCCTCCTCCTCCTCCTCCTCCTCCTCCTCCTCCTCCCCCTCCTCCTCCCTCCTCCTCCTCCTCCTCCTCCTCCTCCTCCTCCTCCTCCTCCTCCTCCTCCTCCTCCTCCTCCTCCTCCTCCTCCTCCTCCTCCTCCTCCTCCTCCTCCTCCTCCTCCTCCTCCTCCTCCTCCTCCTCCTCCTCCTCCTCCTCCTCCTCCTCCTCCTCCTCCTCCTCCTCCTCCTCCTCCTCCTCCTCCCTCCGTAGCCATTTTGGCTAAAGTCGCCATGTCGCCGTGCGGCCGCATGGAGACCTCTGAGCCGAAGACAGACCCCGTCAGTTTCCAGCCACAACTAGGGGTGAGCTGGCACCCACGCTTCCTGCCGCCACACTCAGGGGCTTGCGGCCACCCATTCCTGCTCATGCTCTTGGCATTGCATTCTGCCTTCCATATCGTGCTGTCCATCGGCCAGACCACCGTCTCCGTGCAACAGCTGGACTTCGGCCTGACCTCCGTCGCCAATTTCCGCATCCATAAATCGCTGGACGCCGAGTTGTTCGTTACCCAGCAGCAGCAGCAGCAGTTACGCAGTGGCATCGTATTCAGCCTGGCAAGTGGCGCAGCGCAGAACAGTTCAGCGCCCGATGAGCCAGAACCATGTCCTCCAGCGAAGAGAGATCTACCTCTCGCAGCGCCCCTTCAGCCAGCCGTCGAAGGAAAGACCGTCGCCGTGAAAGAGAACGTCACGAATCTGAACGCGCACCCCGAGGACCCCATGAACGTGAAGATAAAGGCTCCCGCGCATCAGCCGCCCGCCATACTTTGGCAACCTTCGGTGGCCACGGCTTCTCGTCGCAGCCAGCAGAGTCACGCTCGGGGAGGGCTTCGGGACAAGCAGCGCGAGCAGGCAGGTCTTCAGCTCGCCCGTCGCAACAGACACCCACCTTCGCCATGGATACTGGAGAAGAAGAACCGCACGATCCTGCACGCGCTGCCGCCGACGCCGCTCCTCAACAATATCGCGATGGTGATTGGACTGACCGTCCCGCACAGCTTCCTGCCGCAGCACCTCGCCCCGATCCATTGGCAGGAGCAACAGGTCCTTGGAGAGACGGAGACGCAGCCGCACATGCGAATGCCACTGCAGCACACGGCCATGGACGACCACCAACCGCTGGAGGAGCCGCCGCCGTCGGAGCCACCGCCGCTCATCATGCGGGAGCCGAGCAAGCCACACCACCTGCGCCTGAACCCGTTCGTCCCCCTGGACTGGATACTGACCTTGACAGAGCACTACAAGAACCCATGCAAGCACAAGTCGCACATGCAGCAAGCATCTTCCAATCGCAAGCCAACCAGCTACTATATCAATCCCAATCCAGAGAAAGTTTTCGTCCATTTCTCGCACAGCAAGTACAAGCCACTGAACGCCGAGCCGATGCCCTTCATGATGTCGTCGCCAGAACCCGCCGCGAACAGGAGCGACAAGCTGCAGACCAGCAAAGGATGCGGCAGCAGATCGATCAGATGCGTGAGACGCTCGCGCTCGCAAAGGCCCAGACGCCGATCGCGGACCTCACCAGGTTCGCCGACTGGGACCGCGCGATCGACCCGACGATCCTCACCGTCGGAGCTCAACGCCTCATCGCGCCCGGCGTGCTTCTCGACGACCTGCAAGAGTGGATCGCGTCTGCCAGCCTGGCCACGGACGCCGTCGAGCTATATGGAGATGAGCCTGCAGGCCGATTCATTCTTCAAGTTAAAGGAGACCGCGCCCTCGCTGTTCCTCGGGCACTTGCTTGTTTGTTTCTCTCTCTCTCTCCCTCTCTCTCTCTCTCTCTCTCTCTCTCTCTCTCTCTCTCTCGAGCCTTCCGCGACGCTGCAGGTAAGTGGAAGCGGTTCACATCAACGAACACCACGGGCGCGCCGACTGACATCTGCCTCAACCCCGGCAAAGCCCCCAAGCAGATCCGCACCGAGATCCAGCGCAAGAAGCCCCCCCACAAAAAAACTTCTTCAGCATCGACATCCGCAAAAGTCATGGAAGGCCTATCGCACCAAGGGCGAGATCCACTGCAACGCCATGCCCGTCGCGCGCCTAGTCGTCAAGGACCAAGCCGACCCTACCATCCTGGAGTGGAACGAGAAGGCCTTCGAGCTCGATGACTTCCGCGACATCGATCGCGGCGCCGTCCTCGCTTCCCTCCAGGCGCTCTTCGCGGACACGGCTGAGGCCACGTGGCGGGTTTAGCTACCCCTGGGCGTCGTGGAAGCCAGTCGAGGACAACCTGACTTGCTCGCTCATCACCTGGAACGCCCGCGCGCCCATGAGCCACAAGCGCTCGAAACGTCGTCGCAAACAAGCAGCACTGCCGCAGCACATGCGCCAGCGCGCTGTCACGGTCCTGCAGGAGGTCCACGGCTCCGAGAAGCTTCTCGGCAGTTGGGTCGACACCCAGCCGCGCCCGCACAAGTTCTTCTACTCGCAGTTCGTCGACGAGTCCGCCGAGGACGCGCGCGCAGGCACGGGCGGCGTGGCCACCCTCATGGCCCGCGCACGCGCAGCTGGGCAGCCGCCCCAGCGCCCGCTCTTCGCCCACGAGGAGCTCGTCAAAGGCCGCGTCCAGACCGTCGCCGTCACCAACGCAGTCACCCGCAACACCATCATCATCATGAACGTTCATAATCACGAGATCGACGCCAGGGGCCGAGATCGCACTCAACGCGCCTGGCACCAGCATCGCACTTGGGCGGGGGCCAACTACCAGCACCGCACCTTCCTGGCAATGGGCGGCTTCAACACTGCCAGCCGCCCGCCTCGCGCTGGACAACAGCGCGCGGCAGCAACAGCCGTTCTGGAAGGCCCTGCTCGACAGCATGCTGGAGGGCGAGTCCGACCTGCCGACGCGCTTCAACAAGTCCGACTTCACCGCGTCAGCCATCGATCGGGTCTTCATCCGCCTGCCGTCGCACGCCATGCTTGAGCTCACATCGGTCGTCCGCATCGCTCGCGACCCCGCCATCCTGTCGGACCGCCTCATCAGCGACCGCGCCAACGTCTCCTGCACCATCGGCATCAAGCTGAGGACGCCGCCAGTGGAGCAGGCTATCCCGCAAACCATTTTCCGCGACCCCTCGTTCGCCAAGTACCTCCAGCAGATGCTCGACCACACCGTCGCGACCCGCCTGCCGATCGCGAACCGCTGGCGCTCGCACAAGCGCCTCATGGTGGAGGCTGCCCGTCTTGTTCGCGATGATTGGGTCAGCCGCGCAGCTGGAGAGATCGGCAAGTCAAACCACGCCGACGGCCGGGCGATCACAGCACGCTCGATCTCGCAAGCGATCTGGCGTCAGGACATCCACCTGGCACGCTGCCGGCAGTCTACCACCGAGCTCGGCGCAAAGTACATCGTGCTGGACGACGGCGTCATCGCGCTCTCGGATGCCGCCGAGTTCGCCATGAAGTCCTCCGCTCTGCACCGCGACTTCGAGGCTCGGCAACTCTCTCCGGCACAAAGAGCGGCCCAGTTGCCGCGCGGCACGCCTGGGGCGATCGAGCCTGAGAAGCTCCGAAAGTTCACCCGTGTGTCCCAGCGCAGGGCCCTGCTTTGGGCTCCGTGGAAGCGCCGCCTTGTCCTCCAGGGCATCAAGACCACCGACCCATCGGGCCTTCCTGGGGTAGCCAGAGAGAGTTGTGCGATGGTGGACGCGCTTCGCGACCACTGGCGCCCCGTCTTCGAGCGCAAGCAGGTCGACGATGCGAAGGTCAAGCAGTGCGTCGCCACGCACATGCCGCTCAGCCCCACCATCGACGTCGGCGCGCCCACCAAGTCGCAGATCCGCGGCTTCATGCAGCGCACGGCGCCGTCCGCGCCTGGGCCCGACCTCCTGCCGCACCGCGCCTGGCTCGCCGTCGACGCGTCCTTGGACGTGCTCGAGGACCTCGCCTGGCACCTCTGCTCCAACGCTGACCGGATTTAAGATCTGAACGACTCCGACTTCGCTCCCCCCCCCGAAGGGCGACAACTTCACGGGCGAGCTCACGACGGACCGCTTGCCAGAGGACACCCGCCCGCTCTCCCTCAAGGACACGGATATCAAGGCCATCGCGGGCGTTGCCAATTTCCTCATCAAGGCCACTGTGGCAGAGCGGACGCATTACGCACAGCAGGGCTTCGTTGTCGGCCGCAACTTCACCAAGCACATCGCCAACCTTGACGCGGATATGCGCCGTGCAGGGGTGTGCCTTGACTCCGAGCTGCACAAGCCAGTCTTCACCAGCTTCGACTTCGCGGCGGCGCCCCCGTCGCTCGGACGGGTCTGGCTCTTCGCATCGCTGGAGCGGTTCGGCGTTCCTGAGGGCCTGCTCTGTCTCTTTCGCCAGCTGTACGACGCCCCGAGGAGCTTCCTCAAGGACGACGGGTTCCGTCACTTCATGTTACCGATCGAGTCTGGCGTGGCGCAGGGCTGCCCTGCGAGCGGCTCAGCGTGGGCGATCACGATGGACCCGTTGGTGCGCCACCTCGCGTCGTTCGTCGAGACGGTCGGTGGCATGCTTGACCACAACAAGGGCGACCTCGGCGCGTGCGCGGACGACGCTGGCCTCCTCGTCGCGTTCTCGTCCGACACGCTGCGCCGCGCATCTGAGCCCTTTAGCGCTGCTGAGGAGCTCGCGCTCCCCTCGCTCAAGCCTCGTACGTGCGTCGCCGTCCCGCTTTCGACGAAGACTACGCCTGCCACCACAGCCCGAGCGAAAGCCCTCCTGGCCGACCTCTGTCCTTCTTGGGGTGGCTTTTCGGTTTCGGGGCGAGCCGAGTACCTCGGGACCTTCCTCGGACCCTCGGCCCTGCCTGACAATGGCTCGCCCCTGGACAGAAATCGTGGCAGCGCGGCAATTCTCCCCAGCTCGCTCAGAGAGGCAGCGACGCCACCGTGCGCCTGCACAACACATCGGTCGTTTCAACGCTCAGCTATGTCTCACAATTCTTTCCGCTGGTCTGAAGATTGCTCGCCGTGAACATTATATATATATATATATATATATATATATATATATATATATATATATATATATATATATATTATATATATATATATTCACAAAATGCCCAGCTTGCCGCCGAATACGCATCGCAAAGTAGATCCCATCGCAATGGCGGAGCGGTGCCGCAGTTCGTTCTGCAACTTACACGCTGCGCGGAAAATGGGGGCAATTCCTCGCGCGTCTGCGAGACATCGCGTGGGGGGAGAGCACGGCTCACTTCTTCCATCGGTCGGAGGCTGGGCAGTGGTCCCCGCCCTTCGGGGAGAGGACACTTCCATCGTGCAATTATACCATGCCATGTCCCGCGGCAAGCGTGCCGCGCCGTTTTCAGCAGCCGCCGTGGCCGCGGCAAACCGAGCAGCTGCCCGCGAGCCCCGAGAGGCCCCAGCCGCCGAGCCACCGCGCCGCCCTAAGGTGCAGCGTGCGGCCGCGATCGCGCTTCAGCGTGCCTCTTTTTCGTCGCCGTTTACCGTCACTCTTGGGAAGCGCATCGCAGCCTGGGGCATCCGTCAGCCGCCCTCAGCCCCAGAGCTCGCGACGCGCTGGGCCGCTCTCACCAGTGCACTCCGCAAAGTCCGCCCCAGCTGGCGCTGGGCGGTTTACAAGACGCTTGTTGGGGATGGACGACCACCCACCGCACGCACGTCCTCCAGCAGAAGCAGCGCGTGTTCGGGTGCCAGGCGGCACCCGACTCGTTCCCTCAGAACCTCTCTTGCCTTGATCTCTTGAGCCTCTTCTGGTCCCCTGACTCTCCCCCGCTCCGTAACACACGTACAAACTGGGGCTTGGGCCCCGCCGCGGCCGACCCGTCTGATCTTGACAGCGACCTCTCGTTGCTGCGGTCGGTCCAGCGGACAGCGCTGGCCTTCAACCTTTATGACAAAATGAAGCATGCCACGCCGACCCCAGCCACGATAGCTGAAGGGTTGAGCGTTGCCAAAGCCTTGCTCTGGAAGTAGCTCGGCGCCAGCGGATGGACGCTCGTCTCGCGTCTTGCCCGCTTGCCCTCGTCTCTTCCTCTTTGAGTACGTGCACTCCTCCTCCTCCTCCTCCTCCTCCTCCTCCTCCTCCTCCTCCTCCTCCCCCTCCTCCTCCTCCTCCTCCTTGTCATCCACCTCCTCGTCCATCTCTTCCTGCTCCTCCTCCTCCGCTCCTCCTCCTCCCTCCTCCTCCTCCCTCCTCCTCCTCCTGCCCCCTCCTCCTCCTTTTGCCCCCTCCTGCTCGCTCCTCCACCTCCTCCTCCTCCGCATCCCCCTTTTTCCACCTCCGTCACCTCCTCCTCCTCCTCCTCCTCATCGTCGTCCCCCTCTTCTGTTTCTTTTTCCTCTTCCTCCTTCTCATTATCCTCCTCCTGCCCCCATCTCGTTCGATCCTCATTTTCATATTCCCCCTCCCCATCATCAGCAGCATCATCATCATCCGCCTTCTCCTCCTCCGCCGCCTCCCCCCCTCATCAGTATGTTCCTCCTCATCTTCATCATCAGCAGCATCAGCATCATCATTATAATCAGCACCATCATCCTAATCAGCATGATCAGCATCAGCATCAGCATAATCAGCAGTAGCAGCATCATCATCAACTTCCTCCTCCCCCAGTTCCCAACACATTCGCTTTTAGTTCCCCAACACCTTCGTTTTCAGTTTCCCGACACCCGCACGTTGAGTTTACGGGCGCCTTCGCTTTCAGTTCCCGGACACCTTCGCTTAAACTATTGCCACGCTTTTATAACGCGTTGGATCCCGCATCCAAGGCGCCTGCCGGTTTAGGGCTCAGGTGGCAAGCCTTGCGGTGTGAGCTCGCGCAGATGTCTTTGGTCCATCAATGGTGCGTGGTGGCGGGGATCTGCGCGAGCTGAATCACATCCCACACGATACACGTCCTGGAGCCTCGTCATTGCGGCTTCGGTTGCTCGGCAGTGGGCTCGATTTGCCACTGTTGGCAGAGCCCCCGGCCTCGTGCATTTCACCGCCTTCCCCCGCGCCTTCCGAGTCTCCTGGCTTACTCGTCATGCGGGGGCTGGGTTCCGAGCAGGACAGGGCCTCCCTGGACGATTCTCGCATGGCGGTCATCCGCAGGATGATCATCGCATTAGATTTCTTCCACACTGTGAAATTCGAGCTGGATACTCTGCCCGAGGGTCAAAGAGAGCGCACCCGGGGCTGTTACGCCTTTGCTCACAGATGCCTGCTGGCGGCGCGCCAGAGCGCCGGACTATGAACTGAGGGTGGGGTGGGGCGGGCGGAGACATTGTAAGGAAGAGGACAAGCAGGAGGAGACAGCGGTAGCAGATCTTGCGCCCCCGTGGGGCGGACAGATCGTGCCCCCCTGGCGCACCCGACGCTTTCACCCTTGTCTGGAGGCGCGGGCGGTGCAGTGGGGGAGAGCACTTCACGGGCGGAGCGCTCATGCCAGAGATTGCCGTGCCGCATCCGTGCTCCCGCCTTGGGCCGCTGAGCACTGGCACGCCGCCTTCATGTTCGGTCGGGCTGCGGTCCACTGCTGGATCGCGGCGAGGCCCCTCTTCCCGGAAAGTCGGTGCGCCGGCCTCTCTCTGGATGGATCTGCGCGCCTCAGGCTACGCATGCTCCTCCTCTTCCTCCTCCTCCTCCTCCTCCCCCTCCTGCTCCTTGTTCTCCTCCGCCTCTTCCTCATCCTCCTCTTCGTCCTTTTCCTCCGCCTTTTCCTCCTCCGTCCGCCCCCCTCCTCCCCTCTTCCCTCCTTCATTCCGTTTCCTTCTAGATAACTCCTCCCTGTCGCACCCCGAGGTCGGTCGAAAAAGCGGGCAGGACGTTTCGCCTGAGACTTCCTCACAATGTATGATCCTGAAGCTTGAAATGTGCAACAGTTTCACGGATGGAGGGCGGTCCGTTTTCAAAAAGTCACCGCGCACATTCGTTCTCAAAATTTGGAAGACTTTCGCGGATGGAGGGCGGTCCGTTTTCAAAATGTTGCTCTCGCCTTAGCGCAGCGCCCATTCGTTCTGAAAGTCTGCAAAAGCTACCCGGATGGCGATGAGCACCCAGAGTACAATCGACACTCCGATCCCGAGCGGGATTAAACTTGCACGCTGCAGCGCAGTGCATTTGTGAGCGCTGCACATGCGAACATGTGCCATGTCTCAGCGGCCAGCAGTTCTGCCTCTGCGCCCGGAAGTGCGCGCTGCCCGCTGCCCGCTGCCCGCTGCGTTGGGCCTGCGAGCGTGAGCAGCTCGAGGTGCAGGGCTTCGTGAACCTCGTCCCGGATCCGTCTTCTGGCCTTGGCTTTGTTTGTTCGTTGAGCCTTTCTTCGAGTAGGGCCGATGCTCGGGGTCTTGCGGTGACCACACCGTGTGGTGAGTCCGTGGGGATGCGGGGTCACCGTGCGGTTTGGGGGGCCCGGGTCGTTCTCCGAGGGCTTCTCGGACGACTTGGGCCTCCAGGGTCTCAAGGCCGTGTGGTGACGGACCGCGCGGTGAGGTCGTTGGAGAGTCCGAGGTCACCACGCGTTCCGTGACCACACGGATTCGGGCCCCGAAGATGCTAGTTGTTTCGCATGCCATGTTCCCACCCAGAAGAAGTTCTCCGGTCCGCCTTTCCTTCCTTCCTCCTTCCTCTTTCTCTCTCTCTCTCTCTCTCTCTCTGCCTCTGGCCGCCCTGATCGGCGAGCCGCAGGGCATGCGCCAACGGGGTTCACTGGGGGGGCACAACACTGAACACGCGAAGGGGTTGCTGAAGGGCCCTCTCGGCAGCAGCGGCGGCGGCCGCGCTGCGCCAGCAGCGCTTGTTCTAATCCCTGGCGCCGCAGCGACGCGCTGCCATCAGGCCGGCGCCTCGCCGCGGGTCGCCCAGATCGAACATTGCTCGGGTGTTTCTAGAAGTGCCCCTACCCAAAAGTGCCCCCAGGATTTCCAAGGAGGCCCCCATGGCCTCCAGAGCACCCCTCACGAGGCTCAGAGGGCCCCAGGGGTTCCAAAATTGATCGAGAAGCTGGGGGCACCTTGAGCCAGGGACACCTTTAGCAACCCCCGAATTGTGTTCTCAACCTCACGCCTGGCGTGCCCTTTATTGATAACGAGCTCGCGCTACAACTGGGTGATAGGGGACGCTAGGCCGCCTGGCTACACCAGAGTGCCGCTCACCTTCGGAGCCCCCTCCTTGGCAGCACCAGTGCAGGTGGGGAGACACGAGGGGAAGCGAGGAGAAGGAGGGAGGACCAGGGAGGAGGAAGAGGGGGGAAGCGGTGAGGCCGTCGAGGGGACGGTGATGGGGAGGGGGGTGGCGAGCGGGCCGCGGCCTTGCCCCGGAGGCATGTTGCGGGGGACCCGAACCTGGAGATCTTGTACCAGGACTTCGCGAGGGAGAGTACCGTAGCACCCCGCACTTGCAGATAAGAGTGAGGGGGCGGGGGCGGGGTGCGTCGCGGATGGGTCGCGGGTGGGTCGCAGGATGGGTCGCGAAAGGTCGCGGGCGAGGACGACGACAGCACCAACAATAATGTTAGATTGTTCGTTTGGTTATGTTCACGTGTCAACCAGCATGTATCGCCCAAACGTTGGGAAACAAGCCCTCTTCGTCTAAAATCGTACCCCCTTTTGGGGGGATAGTTCCCTTCCCTGCCACGTGTAGTTAGCGCAGCTTCTAAAATAGGAAGGACTGAAATAATGGAAAAAGGAGAGAGCGAGGACGAAAGAAGTGGGGGAAGGAAGGGAGGAGGGAAGGGGGCAAGGGGGAAGCAGAGATGGAGGACGAAAGGGACTTGCAAGAGGACTTAGCGAGAGGAGATGGCAAGGAAGTCTCAGGCGAGAGCGCGGTTCCGATGTACATGGTAAAGAAGTCCCCAGCGAGCGCGCGATTCTAGAGCGCCGAGAGAGCGATTCGTCAACGAACTGTGAGGAACTCTCAGGCGAGAGCGCGAGCCCTGGATAAGTTGTCGCGCGAGAGCGCGATTCTGCAATAAGTGGCGAGGAAGCATGGGGCGGGAGCTGCTGTTGTTGTAATTCGGGGGCCAGGGGCCCAGTCTGAGGTTCAAGACCTCGCCTTGTAAAAAACATGCGAGAGCGCGATTCTGCAATAAATGGCGAGGACGTATTCGGCGGGAGCCGTTGTTGTTGTGGTTCGCGGGCCAGGGGGCCATTCTGAGGCACAAGACGTTCCCTTGGAAAATTAGGGTGCGAGCCCGGAGAGGGGCACTTGAATCGAAAAACACAGCAGGCATTGGCGGGGTGATCAAGAATAGTTACAATTCAAGGAATGAGGACTCAATAATTTTCAATACATTGCAAGGAAGTATCAGGCGAGAGCCGCTGTTGTTGTAAACTTGTGGCCAGGGGCACAGTTTGAGCAGGAAGATTTCCGTTCGAAAAAACACAGCGAGCCCCGGGAGGGGCACATCAATTAAAAAAACAAACATGTTACGCGAATGCGTGAGTCTTGCATAAATTGCCCGGAAGTCTCAGGCGAGAGCGCGATTCCTAAGTAAATTGTGAGGAAGTCCCCGGCGAGAGCGCGATTCCTGAATGGCGAGGGCGTGGCGCTTGGATAAATTGTTCGGAAGTCACAGGCGAAAGCGCGATTCTTCAATAAATTGCAAGCAAGTATCAGGCGGGAGCCGCTGTTCTTGTAAACCGGTGGCCAGGGGCACAGTTTGAGCAGGAATAGTTGCTATGTTAAAAACAAGGTGCGAGCCCTGGGAGGGGCGCTTCAAGTCAAAACAACACACATGTTACCGAAGGGGGATCAACAACAGTTATGCTGCAGTAGTGAGAGTTCAACAACAGCAACAACAAGAGCAACAACAACGACAACAACAACAACAACAACAATCACACCAACAACAACAACAAAAAACAACAACAACAACAACAACAACAACAACAACAACAATCATTATAAGACTGTTCGCTCTTGCTTGCCCGTGTGTCATTCAAAACGAGTTACCCACACACTCGATACCCGCCCTTTTTGTATCCGATCACACCCCCTTTGGGGGGATTATTTCTCTTTGCGGGGGCGGCGGGCTTAGACAGGCGGGCAAACCTGAACGGGCGGACAATCCCTCGTGGGCGTACGTGTGCCCGCCATTGGAATTGGTGTGGATTCTGCCAAAAGAAGAGGGGGAGAACGAGGGAGAGTGGGAGGAAGGGAGGGGGAAGGACGAAGGAAGAGGGAAAACGCCAGGAGAGAAGGAGCGAAGAGGGGGGCGGTTGATTACAGGCAGAGAGAGAGAGAGAGAAAGACCGATAAGAGAGGTAGAGAGAGAGAGAGGGGAGAGAGAGAGAGAGAGAAAGAAAGAAAGAAAGAAAGAAAGAGGGAAGGAGGAGGCAGGAGAGGGGAGGGAGAAAGGAGGAGGGAGAGGAGGGAGAGGGGATAGGGCAGAGAGGCATAAGGATGAGGGAAGAGAGGAGGGAGAGAAAAGGGAGGAGAGGAAGGAGGAGGGAGGAGGGAGAGGGAGGAGGAGCAGGAAGGTAAGAGCGTGAACGTTCGAGGAAATCCTAGGCGAAAGCGCCGTTCCTGAAGGAAGTCTCGGGCGGGAGCCCACGACGGGCGGGCGATCCCCTGACGGGCGGGTCGGGCGTGTGAGACATTCAAGCGGGATGCCTGAGTATGGCGAGAGCGCGACTACTAAGTCAGTTGTAACGGCGTCCTTGGCGCAGCGTGTTTCCTGAGCGTCGAAAGTGCGATTTCTGAATACATCGCATGGAAGTCACAGGCGAGAGCGCAATTCCTGAATAAAATGTGAGGGGCTCTCTGGCGGGAGCGGGGGTCTTGATTAAATTGCGAGGGAGTCTTGGTTCAATTGCGAGGAAGTCGTAAGCGGGAGCGCCGTTCCTGAGTAAATTGTGAGGAAGTCTCAGATGGGAGCGGGGGTCCTAAATTGCGAGGAAGTCAGAGGCGGGAGCACCGATCCTGAGTAAATTGTGAGGAGGTCTCAGGAGCGGGGGTCCTGAGTAAATTTGGAGGAAGTCTCAGGCGGGAGCCGTTGTTGTTGTAATCCAGGGGGCCAGGTGCCCAGTTTGAGCACGAAGATTCTCCCTGTCAAAAAACAAGGTGCGAGCGTCGAGGGGCACACTTTGATTGAGAAAAACAGCATGCACCGGTGAGGTGGGATCAACAATGACTATTCTTCAGAAATGAGAGATCAACAGCAGCAACAACGACAACAACAGCAGCAACGACGACAAACTGACAGTCAGGCAAGCAAACAAACGAGCGAACACAGAAATTCTAAAGATACACGACGGCAACGACAACTATTACTTTAAAATTGTTCGCTCTCATCGGGTCGCGCGCCAACCAGCATGTACATCCCAAGTCCTCGATGCCCGCCCTCGTCGTCTTTTATCGTACCCCCTTTTGTGGGGATCGATTCTTTCCATGCCACGTGTAATTGGCGCAGCTTCTAGAGCAGGAAGATCATACATATTTAAAAGGGAGAGAGCGAGGATCAAGGGAGTGTTGGAAGGGAGGAGGGAAGGGGGCAAGAGAGGAGGAGAGATAGAGGACGAGGAGGTCAGCAAGTGGGTTCCGCAAGAAGGGATGATAGGAAGTCTCAGGCGAGAGCTCGCTTCCTGCGAAAATGATAGGGGAAGTTCCGAGCGAGCGCGCGATTCTCGAGCGCCAGGAGAGCAGCTCGTGAATAAATTGTCAGGAAGTCTCCAGGGGAAAGCGCGAGCCCTGCATACATTGCATCGAAATGAAGGTGTAGGGCGGGAGCCGTTGTTGTTCTAGTCCGGGGGCCAGGGGCCCAATCTGACCCTCAAGATGTTCCTTTGCAAACACAGGGTGCGAGCCCCGAGATTTTCCTTTGCAAATACAGTGTGCGGGCCCCGAGAGGGGCACGGAAATTTAAGCAGCACATCTTACTGGAGGGTGTGACCAACAGTTGTTTGAAGTGAGAGCTCTTGACCGCGGATCTCTGCTTCAGCCACGCACCCAGGGGCAGTATACGATTGTGCGGCCCCCTCGTTCTGATCAACGACACGCTGCCCCAGGTACGGCGGGGGCGTTGGTTAAGGAATGCGCCCAGGATGCTGCAGACCCTGGAGGGTTCCTTGTCTGATGAGGGCGGCGGTGATGTCCATGGCCAAGCCTCGATTGGAGTTCCACTGGCCTCAGGACCCTGGATTCCTTATCTAAGGGTTCGCCGCAGCGGCGGCCTTGCGTGCGTAGCGCAGTATTGCATGTGTGAATTTATTTAATCGCTTCGCTCATTCCGCCGGCCCTGGAGCGCTATTTGGGGCCTCTTGGGGCCGTCTTGGGGGCTTCTTGGGAGCGTCTTGGGGCTCCTTGGCGGCGTATTGGGCCCCCCTGGGGCCTCTTGGGGGACTCTTGGGGACCCCTTGGGGCGGGAGGGGGGGTAGTCGATTGCAGCCCCCCCCTCGGAGGCCACGATCCTCGTGAGGGGTGGCGAAAAATAGCCTCCCCCCTGGGGATCGCCCGGGACCCAGCCGGGCATCGGCCGGGGTACTTTTCGTCCGAGGCCCCCCAGGGGCCGCCCTGCGCGCGCGAACTAGAAATATTGTCAAGCAGTTACCGGAGATCTTAGCACGCTCTGGCCCGTTGGGCCGGCGAATTTGGCACGGGCATTGTGCCCTCGAAGAGAGACGAATGCCCCCGCCGTAGCCCGTCGGCGTGTCGTCCGCTCGTTCTTGCCCGAAGGCCTGGCGCCTCTGCGACAGCGATGCGCGCCGACAGGGACCCCCCGCGGCGGCGTGCGTCGCCGATGGGATCTCTTGAGGGGGCTCCCCGAGGAGTTCGGGCTCCGCTTCCGCCTGGACCTGTCCCGCCAGCTGAGCCGCCTGAGCAGGATCGGCGGCGAGCGAGGGGGGGAAGCGAGAAGGAGAAGGCCCTCTCAGAAGGCGGCGGGGCTTCTCGGAAGCCCCTCCCGCCTTCTGAGAAGTGTTTCTCCCAACCATCCTGTGGTGTTGGGTCCTCGTTTTGAAAAGACGGTGCGGCGCGTCTCCTCCTTCCTCCTCTCCTCCTCCTCTTCCTCCTCCACCTCCTCCTCCTCCTCCTCCTCCTCCTCCTCCTCCTCCTCCTCCTCCTCCTTGCCTCTGCCCTCCGCATGTTTCTGTTTCGGCACAAACTTCACGCGTTTCGCGGCCCCACAGGGAGCTCCACCGAAGGCCCCAGTGGCAGGGTTCGCATGGCACCACCGCCCCCATTCTGGCGCACGCATCACACGGTTCGTGGCCCCATAGTAAGCTCCACCCCAGTGGCAGGGTTCGCATGGCGGCCGCACCCCATTCTGGCACACCCCTCACACGGTTCGTGGCCTCATAGCGAGTTCCGCCGAAGGCCCCAGTGGCAGGGTTCGTATGGCACCACCGCCCCATGCTGGCGCACCACTCACACGGTTCGTGGCCCCATTGGGAGCTCCACCGAAGGACCCAGTGGCAGGGTTCGCATGGCACCACCGCCCCATTCTGGCGCACCCCTCGCACGGTTCGTGGCCCCATAGGGAGCTCCACAGAAGGCCCCAGTGGCAGGGTTCGCATGGCACCAACGCCCCATTCTGGCGCACCCTTCACACGGTTCGGGGCCCCATAGGGGGAGCTCCGCCGAAGGCCCCAGTGGCAGGGTTCGCATGACACCACCGCCCCATTCTGGCGTACCCTTCACACGGTTCGTGGCCCCATGGGGAGCTCTACCGAAGGCCCCAGTGGCAAGGTTCGCATGGCACCACCGCCCCATGCTCGCGCCCCCCCCCCGCACGGTTCGTGGCCCCATAGGGAGCTCCACCGAAGGCCTCAGTGGCAGGGTTCGCATGGCACCACCGCCCCTGTCTGGCGCACCCCTCGCACGGTTCGTGGCCCCATAGGGAGCTCCACCGAAGGCCCCAGAGACAGGGTTCGCATGGCGCCACCGCCCCATTATGGCGCACCCCTCACACGGTTCGTGGCCCCATGAGAGTTCCACCGAAGGCCCCAGTGGCAGGGTTCGCATGGCACCAACGCCCCATCTTGGCGCACCCATCACACGGTTTGTGGCCCCATAGGGGGAGCTCCGCCGAAGGCCCCAGTGGCAGGGTTCGCATGGCACCACCGCCCCATTCTGGCGCACCCCCCCCCGCACGGGTCGTGGCCCCATAGGGGGAGTTCCACCGAAGGCCCCAGTGGCAGGGTTCGCATGGCACCACCGCCCCATTCTGGCGCACCCCCCCCCGCACGGGTCGTGGCCCCATAGGGAGTTCCACCGAAGGCCCCAGTGGCAGGGTTCGCATGACACCGCCGCTTCGATTTCGGCACACCCCTCACACGGTTCGTGGCCCCACAGGGAGTTCTACCGAAGGCCCCAGTGGGATGGTTCGTACCGCGCTCAGTGTCACGGGAGACCAGAGTCTGGAAAGTCGCCATTATCGCAAATGTTCGGAGCGTCGTTGTCAGCGGCTTCTGTTCCCAACCATCCTGTGGTGTTGGATCCTCGTTTTGAAGAGACAGCGCCCGCGCCCTCCGTCCTTCCTTCCTTCTCCTCCCGCTGCCTCCCCTCGCCCTCATCCTTCCTCCCTTGCGGTTCATCCACCCAGTACTGGGTACAGGCGGTAAACCGTCAACCAGGCTACCGCCTGGGACCTCGCAGAGCTCCAGACACACAGTACAGTGAGTGCTCTTAATGCGGATATAAGCTCCCTGGAACGTCAGCTTGATACATAGAGAAACAGATGTTTTAGGGTTTCAACGGAAAGTGAGCTACACACAGATTTTTCAGTGATACAGCAGCTAGAGACCTCATAATTTGCAAACACGCGCGACTGAAACGACTGCAGTTGCAGAGAAACTTCTCCCTGACACGAATTGCCAAATCTCTAAGCATGTCTTTAAACCTCTAATGTCTTAAAACTCGTGTTATTTTTGAGACGGTCCCTGCACGTAAATCGATTGAAACATTGAAGCTACAGCCTTGAGACTTTTACCAGCGAGCGCAGCGTGATCGAATCTTCAGTACCCAAATTTTGATGGTCTAACAGCTTGTCAAATGTTGGAAGTCCCTCAAAAAACGCAAGCACTGATTTCTGATGTAACTTGAAGTCGAGTATCCGACGTCGTTTGATAGTAACACTGCAGCTACGGACCTGAGAAGTGTATTGGCGGGCGCTGCATAACCGATTACAGGTTAGACAAACGCATGGTCTTAAAACGAAATGTCAAGTCTCTCCTATCCCAAATGTTCGGAGCGTCGTTGTCAGTTGGTGTTGGGTCCTCGTCGTCTCTCCTATCCCGAATGTTCCCAACCATCTTGTGGTGTTGGGTCCTCGTTTTGAAGAGACAGCGCCCGCGTCCGCCTTCGTTCCTTCCTTCTCCTCCCGCTGCCTCCCCTCCCCCTCCTCCTTCCTCCCTTGCGTTTCATCCACCCAGTACAGCGCTTCGTGGCCCCATAGGGAGCTCCACCGAAGGCCCCAGTGGCAGGGTTCGCATGACGGCCCCGCGCCATTTTGGCGCACCCCTCACATGATTCGTGGCCCCACAGGGAGCTCCACCGAAGGCCCCAGTGGCAGGGTTCGCATGGCGCCCCCCCCCCCCATTTTGGCGCACCCTTCACACGGTTCGTGGCCCCACAGGGAGATCCACCGAAAGCCCCAGTGGCAGGGTTCGCATGGCGGCCCCGCCGCGCCATTTTGGCGCACCCCTCACACAGTTCGTGGCCCCACAGGGAGCTCCACCGAAGGCCCCAGTGGCAGGGTTCGCATGGCGACCCCCCCCCATTTTGGCGCGCCCCTGCGGTTCTCACACTTGCATATGGTTGGGCCCCTCGCCAGGATGATTTGCCTTCGGCGAAGGCTCAGAACACTTCTCAGAAGGCTGGGAGACTTCCGAGCCTTCTCAGAAGGCCCGCCCCTTCCCACTTCCCCCCCTCGCTCGTCGCCTGCAGGAGCCAGGGCGGGGTCGACGAGCGGCAGCGCCTGCGCAGCCTGGTGCAGCCCGGGGAGCGCATCCTGGTCCTCTGTTCGCGCTTCGGGGTCACCTCGTGCCTGCTGGGCAGGCCCGTGGAGCGCCGAACCCAAGACCCTTCGGGTCGTGAGGAGGAGGAGGAGGAGGAGGAGGAGGAGG